AAATTTTAAATCTAAGTTTTAAAGCTCCTAGAAGAAAATGTTGAATAATATCTTCACAATCTTGAGTTAAATATATTTCATAAACAGGTCACATAAAACATTATCTAGAAAAGGATAAACGGGTAGTTGGACCTCATCTAAATTAAAATCAGTCCATCAGAAGACTGTTAAAAAAATGAAGAATCAAGTTCACTGACTGGAAGAAACTATTCACAACATATAAAGTTGATAAAGTCTTCATATCCAGAATACATGAATTAAAAATTCCTACAAATCATTATCAAAAGAGAATCAACCCAATAAAAATGCACAGACTCTTTTTAAAAGAAGATATAAGAATGGCCAATAAGCACGTGAATATGTGCTCAACATCCTTAAGAATCAAGGAAATACAAATTAAAACCACAATGAGAAACCACTTCATACACTCTAGAATGGAATAATGTTAATTCTAAGATTCTATTGTGAGAGAACATTTTGTTTTCTGACTTATTTACCTGATAAAACCAAAGTCCAGAGACGATAAGTGAACTTCACAAAGTCACAGAGCAGTTCATTTAGGGTTCAAGGACTGGGATTGGGCAATGAACCAAGGCTTTTCCCACAATGAATCCTTTAGAGACTGGTATTCTCAGATGTCTCTGCAACTTCCAACAGGGAGCTCTGGGGATTGTGCCAGAAATTGCATGCAGATAACTTTTTTTTAACTTGGTTTCTAGGCAGTCTAGCTGACTCAGGATCTGGGAAGGCATGCTCTCATTTTTCCTTCCTTAGAGCAGATGAGGCTTCCATGTCCCAGTGGTCCCTTCTGCCTTAGTCACAAGGGAAGATGCTGTCTTTTCATTTGACCATCAAATACAGCTTCTCCACTCTCAACAAGAGAGAACCGAGAGCAGAAGAGTCAAACCTTTACCTTAGCATGAAGAAATGAGGAGCTCCTGTTGGCCCAACTCAGGACTGACCATAAGTCATTGGCCATACTTACCCCTTAGGCAGTCAAGAGAAGCAGAACGGTCCCTTGGAAATAGTTCCAGGAATCCTGTTTTTGGTATCAGTTGTAGTGCTGAACTTCAACAGATTACAGCAGCTCTTTGAGAATCTGTTTTCTCATTCATAAAATAAGAGAGTTGTATCAGATGGCTTAACACACTTTAGTCCCTAAAGGGTGGAGTGTCTTGGTAGTTTTGATCCAGAGAACTATTTCATCAGGTTATAAACCTAACCCCCTGGACCCTGACAACACAGTTTCCTGAACTCTCCATATACTCTTGAGAGGGGCTTGACATGTGGATGGAGCATGTCAGGTCAGGTTGGCTCCTTTCAAATATAGAAAAGCAAGAGAGTTGGAGGAACATTTCTCAGCACTGGGGAGGAGCACAAAGGAACAGATTCAGACCCTTGAGCAGATATGTTCATATAAATCTGAATTGCAAGCATTAATTTCCCCTGCTTTCTTTTTTAATTAAACAAAAGAATATTTAGTTCAAATGTAAAATATAAACAAAGCGTGCATTCGGTGCTTGTGAAAACACTCAGTTTATTAGACTTACTAATTCAATATCCACAATAGCTTATTTCATTTTCAGAAAAATTTTGAACACCTTATCTGTACTAAAATGTGTGGTAGGCAACCTAATATCTTCACGTAAAGGTCATCTGCTTTATTAACCATCTCTATGAGTAAAGACAATGCTAATAGCTAAATAGTAATACCATACAGTTTCATCATAGCTTTAAAAATCATCTTATTGCCTATCCATCCACTATTTTAGACAATAGATGATTACCTAGTACATACTAAGAAAAAACAAGATGAAAAATGAGTCCCTAGCATTGAGGGACCCACAGTCTAATAGGGATAAGCAACTAATTATAAGGCAATTATGTCAAGCATTCTACCAAAGACCTGTATAGAGGGCTATGGGAGCACAGAGGATAAAGCAATCCAACAGGAGAATGTAAAATATTTTCAGCTGCTGACACCTGAGCTCTTGCCAGGTGAGGAGGAGGAAGACATCCAGGAAGGTGGAATAGCTAGGCAGCAAAAGCATGCAGGCAGGACACGATGAGTTGTTTGAGGAGTGTGAGCGGTTTCATGGGTGAGAGTGTGGGGTGGCATGGTATGAGGGGGAAGTGTCCTTGGATGCACATATGGAGACAGAATCACAAGAGGCTGATAATGTTGTGATAAGACATAGCTTGGACATTTTCCGGATGGTGATAAGGATCCTCACAACAGCCTATGACATAGATTTAGTTATCCTTCACAGAGAGGGAAACTAAGGTTCAGAGGAGTTAAATGAATTATTCAAAGTCATGTTATTAGGTTTGATACAGATGGTGAATCAAGATTTTCTTAGTGCAAACTAAACATTTTTTTCCTTTACTCTATGCAACCTAAATATTCTCCTCAGAAACAAGTAAATGAGTCTAATGCAGTGGTTTTAAGTGTATAGATACAGAGGGGATTCAATTTTAAGGAGGGGTATAGGGAATGCTCACCACATGGTTGTGATATACACCTCCAGCTTAAATATACTGGCCGGGGTGTTAGATCATCTGTCATAATAATAAAGTTGAAACCAAAGACATATCTTTTTCCCAAAATCAATTGTTTTAAGTTTTATTAGTTTATTTGCCCAGAATATCAGAAGAATTCTGAGACTATTAATTCATTTTTGTCAATTTTTCATTTGGAACCAGTGTAACTTTATAATGGGCTGTAAGTTTCTACTAAATAATGAGATTCCTGAAGCCCTTGAACAAGAAAAGAGTAAACTGAAATCAATGTTCATTTATTTCTAATTCTTACTGTAAAGGTGATATAACTGAAAGAATATAACAAAATGTATCACTGTGCTTCCTGCTTTTGGTAAGCTCCTAAATCTGTACTTGGTTGCAGTTGGGCTGTAGAGGAGATAGAGATACCAGAAAGCAAAGGGTCTGGGCCTCTCAGAGTAGAAACCATGGTCCGAGGCAATTACCTTTGCGAGTACAGAAACTGGATATTATCTAAGTATTGGATCGGATTGAAGTGGACTGATTCACATCAATCACACTCACAAAAGATAGATGCATAAGCCGAAAATACTAATAACCTCTTTTGCCATGAGAACTGTAACTGCCAAAATGAATGGATATTTAAAATTTCTCAGGTGATGGATGTGTTAATTAAGTTGATTGTGGTAATCATTTTACTATGTATGTGTAAATTAAAACATCCCGCTTTATACCTTGAATACATACAATTTTTATTTGTCAATTATGTCTCGATAAAGATGGAATGAATGAATAAATGAATGAATTCTCTGATGGTGCATTTTCTCCTTATTGAAAACAAGCAGGTTGCTGAACTAGACTCAGAGAGTGGGTTGGTGAATACTGAAAAGCAACACAGCAGAACTAAGAACTTAGGCTTTTGACTCAGACAAATTTTACTTCAAATCCTAAATGTGTGACCTTTGGCAAGCTTCTTAACCCCTCTGAACCTCAGTTTCTACATCTTTAAAATAAAGATAATCATAGCGCCACTGCACCGGGTTATCACAAGAGAATCCACTGGCCAGCACATGGCTAGCGCTCAGCCAGTGTTGGTTATTATTATAACTCTGGCTTTTTCGCTGAATCAGAGCAAGGGCTATGGATTGGATCAACTTAATGTCCAGTATTATCTGGTTATAAGATTTCCAGTGTGTCCTTGCTGTGGCTACTATGGAAAATAAAGATATTCAGGTCTCCAGTACAAGATATCTTCTTCTAGAAACAAACTAAAATGTAGTTTTGAGAGCAAACTAAGGATTTGACACCTTCTAGTTAGGTTTGCAATATATGAATCTAATAAATAAATATAAGAAGGCCCTGTTAGAGCAAAGAAGGGGCCGGGAGCTAGAATAGACAGTCTAAAACTCAGGTTTTTAAATCCTAGGGGCCAGAAGAAGAGATTCCAAACTAGGTCGAGAAGCAACTGGAAATGGGAGCATCAAGGTTGTCAGAGAAAAAACGCAAGTAATTCCCAGCCATGTGGGGGAAATTGGGGCAGTGTTTTCTGCATTTCCTATAGCCTTTTCTTTGGGAAAGCTGGCAACACTAAAAAGGGCCTAAATGGAGCAGACACGATGAAAAATTCTTGCTCCATAACTTTTTTTTCCTCAAACAGGGTAAAAGTCCTTTGATTTTTGTGCTCCTACTTATTTGTCAGAGATTACACCGTGGTTAACTTGTCAGAACTCTAGCTCTCCCAAAATCTCCTTCCTGGATTCTGGATGGTTGCTTGGATTAATTCAACCAATCTCATCCATCATACTTTAAAAATAATCTTTTAATTACAAAGATAATACGTGCTGGTAAAAATCTGAGTAACACAAGGAGTTGGCACCCACAGACGTTCGACCCACATTCACTTCCCAGAAGTAAATACTATCGACCTTTAGCACGTGTTATTTCAGACAGTGTTCTTACTCATATACAAACACTTATGTTTTAATTTTACAAAAATGGAATCATAAAATACATGCTGTTCTGAAATTTTTTACCTTAAAAAGTTTTAAAATAAATTACGTAATTATTCTATTTATAATTATAATTATTACATATATTATATAATATGAATTAATTTGATTTTAATTAATTTTTAATTAATTAAAACATTACTCAACTATATTATTATTCAGTGAAAAAAATAGTGTATATCCGTAGGATGTGTGCAATGCAGAGCACACTTACACATGGTACCTCTCATGTTCCATGGGCACAGCTGAAATAGTTTGAAGGAACCTTAGGTACCTGATTGAGTGCTGACACCAAACTATAACTTTACAAATGGTCTGATCCAAACTGTTTTTTTTAACATGCACGATTATGAATTCATACTCTACCAAAACAAAATTGTCTAAACCTCAGAATTTGTTTAAATAGGGGTTCAAAGTAATTTCAACACAGCATTGCTTTACTTTCCTGCTACTTATATTATAATAAAATTTATTTCATATGGAATTCCAGACATGGACAGAAGAAACCAGACCAGCATCTACGAATTTCTTCTCCTGGGCCTCTCTGAGTGGCCACAGCAGCAGCCTCTCCTATTTGTGCTCTTCTCGGGCATGTACCTGGTCACCGTGCTGGGGAACCTGCTCATCATCCTGGCCATTGGCTCTGATGTGCACCTCCACACCCCCATGTACCTATTCCTGGCCAATCTGTCCTTCTCTGACATTGGTTTCATCTCTGCAATAATTCCCAAGATGCTAGATAATATTGGCTCAGGAAGTAAACTGATTTCTTATGGTGGGTGCCTAATACAACTCTATTTCTTTGGCCTATTTGCAGATCTTGACAACTTTCTCCTGGCTGTGATGGCATTTGACCGCTATGTGGCCATCAGCCACCCCCTCCAATATACCATGACCATGAACTCCCAACGTTGTGTCCTCTTGGTGGCTGGGCCATGGCTGGTCACTACCTTCCATGCCCTAGTGCATACCCTCCTAGTGACCAAGCTTTCCTTCTGTGGCCCCAACATCATCCCCCACTTCTTCTGTGATCTGGTCCCACTCCTGAAGCTGGCTTGCTCCAGTACTTACGTCAATGATCTGGTGCTCATCCTTGTGGCAGGAACATTGCTAATCGGACCCTTTTTCTGCATCCTTACATCTTACTTTTACATTGCATTGGCTATCCTGAGAATTGATTCCCCAAAAGGTAAGCAAAGGGCCTTTTCCAACTGCACCTCCCACCTCTCTGTGGTCTCTCTGTTTTACAGCACAGCTATTGGGGTCTATTTATGTCCTCCATCATCCCCCTCAGGTGGAAAGGACAGAGTCTTCTCAGTAATGTACACAGTGGTGACCCCCGTGCTGAACCCCTTCATCTACAGCCTGAGAAACAGGGATATGAAGGAGGCACTGGGAAAACTACTCAGAAGAAAACCACTCGAACACTCTTTCTCAGGACCTTAGGGTCCTGACTCCAGCACTCAGAGCTGAGAGTTGAAAATTGGCATCTTGAGAGCCCAACTGCTGTAGCTTCCCTAAACCTGAGACTTCTCTTTCTCTCATGTTTATATTTCAAAGTACAGATTGGCAGCTAGGACAGGGAGGGGACCACTGATATCAGTAACCTCTGATCATCTTTGTGAAGTGCCCCCATGCCCTGAGTAGTTTACTGCACACTCTCAGAATGGTTCTTGTTTATTCTTACTGGATGCCTGAAAGAAGTCCATGGGTGGGGGGTTGTATACATATAAAATGAAAATGAAAGTCCCAATGTTTGTTTAGCTCAAGTTGTAAAGAAACTATGAAAGATATCTCTAGCCCAAGAATATAGAATTCCTTATGTCTGGTAGAATGAAATACAAAGTAAATAATCTGATACTTGACGCTTCAACAGGCAGTGTTCTATAGAAGAATAAGCATGGGGCTTTAAGTCTTGGGTTCCAGTACTGGCTTTGCCACTAATGAACTGTGTGACAGCTGTATAATCACTTAATGTCTCTGAGCCTTGGTTTCCCCATTTATAAAATGAAGTGATTGACTTATGTTATTCTAAGCCCCCACACCCACATACTCCAGTTCTAATAATATTTACTGTTATAGTGATAAGAACTCAAGACTTGATGTGAGAAGCTACAAGTCAGAACCAAAAGTCCACCACTTTCATGCTAGGTGACTTGAGGAACACTCTCTCTGAGTTCTGGTTTTATTTCTAAAATGGAAAGAACAACTACATCATAGGATTACTCTGAATAATATGTGAACATACTTGGATCACAATAAGTGCTCAATAAACATTTCATGAATCTAAGTCTTCTGTTCTATTATTTATCCTAATCAGTCTCAGGGCTTCCCTTCTCTCTCTTTGTTAGGACAACCCCAATCAATCATACTTCTGGAAGCCCTATTTCCAGTTTTCTTATCATTTATCAAGAATCTTCTAGGTGGGGTTACTTTTTTTGGTATATATTTTGGAGTTCTCTGAATATGGAGGTGGAAAATTCTTTAAGGAGAATTCTTTCAGGAATTATTTCATTGCTCCATATTGGCTTCACACAAGTCATCAAAAGCTGATTTAACATAGGTAGAAGAATGTGCTGGTGTTGGGAGGAATGTTTCTTCACCAGGCTTGATCTGTATTTCCACGTGGAGGAAACTCAATTAGTGTGACAATTGTCCTAGTTTGCTCCCTTACTCTGCCCAGAACACCTAATTGATCAATTTGGGCACACTCAGCCCAGACTCTCCCTTTGTCTTCTTGAGAACTGCCCTGCTTACAGGGAGCTCTGCTGTGTACCTCCAGGGGCAAAGCAGCCACTCACACACACCTGGGAGGCCCTCCCTGATCCAGCATTACCTGCTTTTGCAGCTGGCTAGGAAAGCATTTGGGTTCTCACCCCAAGTCATATCTACAACTTAGACATTATCAGGAGTAAAATGGCAGTTTGGTCCCCATTTGTCTTTGTCCTTGTCTTATTCATCGATTGATTAAGAACTCAACTGGGAAAGTGGGGTTATTTATTGGGATCCCTGAAACACTGCCAACCATCTGAGAATCACCACTCCAGCACTTAGGAGCTGGGGGATTCCAGAGTAAGTTATTTAACCTCTCTGAGTCTCCTTGCCTGTAATAAGAATGTAATGTTTTTATAATTTTTAAAAATATTAAATAATTGAGAAAATTAATTAACGTGCTTATCTTGACTCCTGGTACATGACACGGACTCAAAAAATAATGCTGCTCTTGTTGTTGTGCTGCTGCTGCTGTTCTTTGCATTGCTGTTCTTGTCATCGTTGTGGGTCTTGTTAGCTTGACCCCTCCCCTGCTGATTAATCAGAGTCAGCCAAGCAAATCATATGCTTTTTAATGGTTATCACTCTTTGCATTCACTAAAAATAAGACATCTGGAGTTTGGCAAGCATATTCTTAAGCTATTTTATTGCCAAATAGCATCCACCATGAAATGAGAGATTCAAAATGTGCTGGCCCTGTTCTTACTAAGAGAGAGAGACCTTCAAAAGATGTTTTGGTTTGGGTTCACTCAGAAACAGGCCCTGTGACAAGGGTTTGAATGCAAGCAGTTGTTTAGGGAGATGATCCCAGGAACATCAGGAGGGAGTGGGGAACCAAGACAGGAACGGGAAGGTAGGCAATAAAAGGACACTACCAAATGAGTTACCAATATGAATAATTGGAGCTTAATATGGCTGGGAAACTCTGGGACGAGTGCAGAGCACACATTTCTAAGTTTCCCCACCCAACTCCTATCAGCTGAGGTTGAGGGCTGCTCCCAAGAAGCATTGATTCCTTATCCCTTCTTCCCAGCTATCCGTGTATATCTGGACCTCCAGGGATTGATAGCTCTCACACAGAGATGGAGTTGCCGGCATCTGAAAATATGTGGGGGAAAGTCACACACTTCCTGTCTGTGTTACTGCAATGATAAGACTTGAGGGCCCATGGGCAGGGCAACAACAGCGTCTACTACAGTTAACCACACAGACCCTCTTGTGCCCTACATTAAGTTCACTACGCCCTGTCATTGCATCTTTAAAATGGTGGCTGATCACAGTTTCTATTTTAAAAAAGACATTAGGAGGGTCAGTAGGACAAACTGTACTCTCCAGTGCTGCAGTTTGCCCCAAGGTCATAATTGATAGGTCACCCTCCTCTATCAGTCATCCATCTGTCTCCCTAGCACCTCTGCTGGTCTAGGTTGATAGGCACACTTCAACCAGACTTCAGGTTCTGTGATTCTGGTTGACATGCCCTTGTTAGCCGTGTTTGGTGCAGTTCTGTGCTGTTGCAGAACACTATTATAATTCCAAAAATCTTTGTGAAAATTTTTGAGAGAGGAATTGAGGTGGATTGAAGATCCACAGATTGAAGTGGATCTGCATTCCAGTAATGCTGGGGATCCCCCAATTAAAAGGGTTGCTTCTCTTATCTTCCCAGTGATAAATTACATCTTCCCCAAGCATTTCAAGCAGAGGTTATGTGGAGAAGACAACCCTGAAAGCCTTCGCTGAGTATAATAACTCAAAAGCACATGTGACTTATTACCAATTATGTAACATTGTTTATAAGAATTTATCTAACAATGATTCACTCTTAGCAGATGCCCTTCATTCTTCTTGTATAATATATATATTATTTTTATCACTGAGTGACTCTGTACCTGTGCTGTATCATAGCCTTGGGTCCTCAGATGAACAGTTGGAATCAGGATTCTCTGCCCATGATACCCATAGTAGGTCTAATTCACTACAACTATTCACACTATCTCCAGGCATGGAGGCACCAGGTGGTGTCCTAGGGAACCCCATGAGTTCCAGACCTACACCTTTCTGCACCCATTAAGTAGCAGCAACCCTACTTCCTCATGATAATTTGGATCAAGTACTGCTATGGTCTGAATGTTTATGTCCCCCCAGAATTCCTTCTGCCTGAAATGCTTTCTCCTGCTCTTCTTCTCCTTAACTCCCACTCATTCTTTAGATCTCAGGTGAAGCATCACTTCCTCAGGAAGGTTAGGTTAGATCTTTGTAATTTACATTTTCTAAACTCCCTGTATTTCCCTTTCAACACACTTATCTCAATGATATTTCAATAAATAATTGCCTAAGAAACTGTTTAATTTATTCTTCCATTCATTCTACAAATATTTACTAAGTTCCTGTTATGTGCCTGACACTCTGCTAGACACTGGGGATATCATGGAGAACAAAACATACCCTGGCCCTGAATTCATGGACTTGTAGTCTAGTGTATAACATCTTTTATACTTTATTATAAGTTCTGTGAAAGCAGGAATTCTGTCTTAGTCACTACAGCATCCCATGAATCCATAGGATTTAGCTACATAAATGAATGAGGAAATAAATATAGAAATTAATGAACAAATGAATGAGTTCTATTTGGAACATTGGTTTTTTTGAAATTTTTAAAAAATTATTTTAATTTTTTAATTGGGATTTTTACACTTTGACGACTTACAACAAAGCAAACACCTAAGTATTCATTCATTCAACACCAGTCATTCAAGAAATAGATTATTGCTGGCATTCCAGACACTGCCTTTTTGCCTCTGTCAAGTTGCAACTCCTCTCTCTCCCATAAAAGTAACCACTATTCTGACTTTTTATATTAATTACTTTCTTTTCTACCATACACACATGTGTGCCTAAACACTATAGTTTGGTTTTGTCTGTTTTTTTTTAATTTTTGTATTGTTTATTTTTTCCAGGTTTATTGAGATATAATTGACATACAATGTTGTGTAAGTTTCAGGTGTAGAGCTAGATGATTTTATATAGGTATGTATTGTGAACTGATTACCATGTAAGTTTACTCAACACATTCATCACCTCACATAATTACCTTGTGTGTGTGAGGTGAGAACATTTAAGATCTACACTCTTAGCAACTTGAAAATATACAATACATTATTGTTAACTACAGTCACCATGCTGTACATTATATCCCCAGAACTTTTTCACCTTGTAAGTGGAAATGTATACCTTTTGACCAACCACTCTCCATTTCACTCACCCTCGCATCCCCTAGAAACCACCAATCTACTCTTTGTTTCTATGAGTTTGGCTTTTTTGTATTCCACGTGAAAGTGAGATAGTACAGAATTTGTCTTTCTTTGTCTGACCTCTTTCACTTAGCATAATACCCTCAAGGTTCATCCATGTTGTCATAAATGGTACAATTTCTTTCTTTTTCATGGCTGAGTAATATTCTATTCCACTTTATTTACCCATTCATCTGTCCACAGACACTTCGGTTGTTTCCGTATCTTGGCTGTCATGAATAATGCTGCAATGAACATGAGGGCATCTCGTATGGTTACTGTGAAGATTAAATGACATAAAAGCATTTGAGCACTTTAAGAGAATGTCTGATGTATAGTAAACACTCAACATTTGTAACCTATTATTATTGCTAAGTATGTACATTC